ACTTACCCAGTTGGACATCCTTCTAGTTGCCCTAGGGACTAGGCTCAGCCAGGAGTTGATGAAGACTCATTTGGGTTAAGTGTGAAAATGACTTATATTTAGGGATTTCTGCAGTAATTTCTACTTCTAAAGGATTTGGTCTTGTTTGTCTTGGTTTTGACACAGGGTCTTATTTTGTAGTCTGGACTGTCCTTAAACTCATTTTTTTCTCCCTGAAATATTTTCTCTCTGTGGCTTTGGCTGTCCTGGAACTCAGTCTGTAGACCAAGCTGGCCTTGAACCTTCTGAGTGATAGAATAGAAGATTCTATCCCATGCCCAACTTGACTGTGTGTGTGTGTGTGTGTGTGTGTGTGTGTGAGAGAGAGAGAGAGAGAGAGAGAGAGAGAGAGAGAGAGAGAGAGAGAGAGAGAAATATGTGTGCCTCCTCATGTGTAGGGGCTTGAAGGAGTCTTCCTTGATTTCTAGCCCTCTTTATTGAGTCAGGCCTCTTAATTGAGCCCAGAGCATCCTGATGAGGGTTAGTTTAGCCTAATTCTCCAAGGAGGCCTTATCTCTTTCTGAGCTCTGGAGTCACGTCTGGTCATTTGTGTGGACACTTGGATCTGAACTCTGATCCTCACACCTGCATGACAAGCACTCTTTCCACTAAACCATTTCCCTAGCCTTTGACATCCTTAAAGTCAGGGTCTCATGTAGCCCTGGCTAGCCTGAAACTCTGTAATTGAAGTGGGAATGACCTTTGCTATTGATCCTCCTCCCTCCAGCTTCCAAGCTGGGACTCCAGGTGTGCACCACCATGTCTACCTTATAGAGTCCTGGGAGATAGAACTCAGGGCTCTACATGCCAGGCAGGCAAGCACTGCGCAGATGGATCCTCAGTCCTTGATATGCATTGTTTTTGTGTGTTGTACAGGGATGGTTGGGGGCAAATGTGGGTGTGTTTTCACAGGTGTAATTTCTCACTAGGACCTAGGGTTGGTTCGTTATACTTAACTGGCTGGACAGCAAACTCTAGGAGCCTCTAGTCACCTCTTTCTCAGCTCTGAGATTACAGATACATGCTGCTATGCTATTTTATTTTTTTAACAAGGGTGAGCACTGCTGAACTTGACTTCAGCCTAGCATCATTTTGGTTGGCTCTGAATGCACTTGGGTACCGTGGCGGTCAGAGGACAGTTATGAGTCAGTTCTCTCCATTACTTGGGTTCCATGGATCACACACCTTTACCCAAGATCTTCTAAAATATTATATGATGAGCGTTTTCCTCCTTGTGACCTCCCTTTGAAGTGTTCCAGGTTTTTGAGACAGGGTCTTTATGTAGCCTTGGCTGACCTGGAACTTGCTATGAGACCAGGCTGGCTTTTAACTCAGAGATCCTCTAACCTCTGCCTCCTAGTGCTGGATATAAAGGTATGTGTCACCATACCCGGCTAAGTGTATTTTCTTATTGGAAGAGATTTAGCAAAGTAATATGAAGGGCAAACAGTTTATAGGGAGGACTCAGTATTTTTCAAGTAAGTACCTAAGTATTCTTGCACATGGAAAGAGAAAGAACTTAGTCTTTAGGATCACAAAGCTACAGTTTGGGGACTCTGATTTCTTCTAATTTTGTCCCTTCCACATTGCGTTTGGTACTCATAGGCTGTGCAGCCTTGGGAAGGAATTGGCTCCTTGCCAGGTCTTTTTCTCAGAGGCATTGAATGGGCACAGAAAGTTTGTCTTGAGTGACCCAGCCAGGCATCGTGGGAAGTTGCTGCATGGTAGACATTTGACTAGCTTGTCTTCTGAATCCAACTTGTTCTCACTTGGTCAGAACAAAGACAGACAGACACAGAGAAGACATTTTCTAGCCTAAGAAAGAGAACATTTAAATGTCCCTTTCCACTCCTGCTCTTGCCAGCCACTGCCCTGTATCTTATATTCTTGATTTTTCCATAAAATTTTGCCAGATGTAACTCATCTTTACAGTAATTTTGTGTGGTTTTTAACTTTTGTGTAACTGCCAGAAAAATACAAGGCTTCCCCTATGGTGGAACCTTGCCAATAAATCACAGGTGAGCATTGCCTTGGTCGCCTCTCTGTCGCTGTGGTTAAAACTCCATGACTGGGGATCTTAGGAGCTGATGAAACTTTCTTGGAAGTATGAGTTTGGAAGGATGAGCCACTTGGCTTAAGCTCTGTAGATTTTAAGTCTAAAAAGATGTGCCAGGGAGGTGACACACATCTCGAATCCCAGCGCATGGGAGGTTGAATAAGGCACATGGGTTTCCAGTTAAGAGGCCAGTCTGTGTGACTTAGAGGTACCCCATCTTCTAGCTGGCACCCTCCCCCCCACCCAGTGTGTGTACAGAGGAGAGGGAGAAACAGTGGAGGGAGGGATGGGACGGAAGAGCACAATCTTGGATTCCCTGGGAAATTGGATCAGCTCTGTAATTCATCTAAACACGTTGCCATTAGCTTTCCCTAGCTAGGGCAGGTGCAGGGACAGTCCTTGGAGTAACCTGTCTTCTTGTGCACTTCCTTCATGGGCCGGGTCCCGTGGTTGCGAGTCTTTGTCGTGTGTTGTGTCAGGGTAGTGGACTTGCTGCCTGGCTCCTTCAGAGGGAGGCCACAACTGTCTGAAACAGTTGGGAATGTTTGCTGCTCTCGGTTACATAGCGGACCCAGTGAGTGCTGGAAGTCTTCCACGGGGGTTATTTTAAGCTTCCTTTGGATCAAACCAAGGTACTCAAGGGACAGACAAGGGCTCCTTCCCTTGCTTCTGTTTCTTGTGTCAGGCTTTTGTCTTAGGCTTGGGGCTCTCACATCTTCCCATTCCAAGGTCATATTGCCTTATTCTGTGGCATACACCTCTGTTGAAGGCACTACCCATGCCATCTTGAGGTTTTTTGTTTTCCATGGAGGGCCCTACCAACACTTTGAGTTGCCACCAAGCCCCTCAATCGAAGTAGCTGGCCTTTGGTCTGGGAGTGACCTTTCTAAAGCTGCTTTAAATGCCATGCCCTTCAGAGTCACCTGCATGCAGTCCCATGTCTTGCTGGTCTGCTCTCCGTCATGAGTGCCTGAAGTATTTCCATCTATGGCAGGTACCTCAAACACCTGCAGCGTAGCTCCCCATGCACCTGCTCTCCTTGCTCAGTGATTTTGCACTTGCCTGCGTGTGAGAAGCTCTGGGTTCACCCCTTGTCTCCTTTAAAAAGGGGGGAGAAGAAAAGAATGGTGGCATATGTACATAGAACTCATCGAGTCTGTTTTCATGTTTGTATGTATTTGCTTTTAGGACTGACCACTTGGTGTTGGAGAAATAGTTGGAAAATATTTAATATTCTCTCTCTCTCTCTCTAGTCATCAGTCTGTAACTCTATGTGTGGGGCTCCAAGAGATTTCCCCATCTGTGTTGATTAGCTGGAGACATTACTGTTCAGGTATATTGTTGATTACGTGGCTATAGTTGTCATGTTGGAAGGCACAATCTTACAGCAGATTTCTAGTCCTGTGGCTCTAATCTTTCTTTCCCCTCTTCCAGAATGTTCCTTGAGCCTTAGGTGTAGAGGTTGTGTGGTAGATGTATCAGTTGGGGCTGGATAGCCTACGTGGACCTGCAGTTTTAGCAGCCCTGAATCTAGGGATTGAGTGATGTCGAGATTTCCACAGCCTGTGGTTCAGTGCTTCACTTGAGGATAGCAATACAGGCTCAAGCTGGAGATGCAATGGATCTATGCAAATTCAAGGGGGGAATGGGGCTAAAACGCTTCTCAGGCACTTTCCTATAATATTCTGAGATAACTCCAGTCATTCTGTTTATCCATATTTCTGGCATTTTCCCCCACTGTTAATATTCTTAGATACCTACCTACCTGCCTGCCTCCCCGCCTGCCCACCTGCTCAGTCATCTCTCCATCCATCCTAGTGTGCAGGTGTGTGCCATGGCTTGAGTGGAGGGAGGAGGTAATTTGCTGGCGTCTGTTCTCTCTACCCCATGGGTTTCAAGGGGCAGTGGGCACCTTTTACCAGAGCCTGGTTTTGTGGTTATGTAAGAACCTAATGCCTGTGCATATGTGGCGCTTAGTGGTTCAGATCCCTGCTCAGCAGAGGACTTCATTTTTTGAAGAAAATGTTCAGTTCTTAGAAATAGGTAGGTTTAACCCCGTCCTTTGTCTGCTGTCTTGTGTAAAGGTTCCTATATACAAGAAATTGTTTTTCTCTGACGTATGTTTTAAGATTCATATTCTTTTACAAAGTTGGCAGTTCACAATAACACAAAATTGCCATTACAACTGTGTCGCCACTAGAAACCATCTGATTATTGAGGCTCAGGAAAAGAAACGCGTGTGTGCGTGAATGTGTGCACGTGCATTAAAGTTCTGGAGATGGATCTTTCTAACGTAGCCTCATTTTAAACCCTTGATCCTTCCACCTTGGCCTGCTAAGTGTTGGGATAACAGGTGTGGACTGTCACGCCTTCCTATGTGGGTTTTTTTTTGTTGTTGTTGTTGTTTTGAGACAGGTCTAACTGGCCTGGAATTTGCTTTGTAGAACCTACCAGCCTCATTCTCAGAAATATACCTGCGTCTATTTCCCCAGTGTTGTGAATAAAGTCACATGCTAATTGAAATGGTTTCTTTCCCTCTGGTCCCCCAGGCGATAGTTGAACCTTCTTCAGTCTTCCCGCACTGCCTGATAAATACTTGTTTTTTTTGGGGGGGGGGAGGAGAAGTGAGGTAGTTGGGTGGTCCGGTAGGGTGGGTGGGATTTGGGCTTTCTTTCCAAGACAGTGTCTTCCTGTGCAGTTCTGGCTGCCCTGGAACTCACTACGTAGACTAGGCAGGCCTCTGGAACTCACAGATCCACCTGCCTCTGCCTCCCAAGTGCTGGGATGATGAACTTCTGGCCCTCCTGCCTGTACCCCCCTCAGTGCTGGGATTACAGGCTTGCGCCGATACACCCATCTTGGCAACCTTCTTGAGTGTTTCTTTCTCTCCCCCTCTTTTAAACAGAAGTTGGCGACACGGCAAAGCAGTACCTAGAAAAAGGTCTTTTGGTTCCCGATCATGTGATCACACGCCTCATGGTGTCAGAACTGGAGACCCGGAGCACCGAACACTGGCTGTTAGACGGTGAGTGGGTACTGGGCAGGCTGGACTTTAGCACTCTTGATTTCTCTCGTAAGTTTTTACAGTTTGATAATAAATAATTTGACAACATGGGAACCCAGTGTGATGTCACCTTAGTTTTCTGCCTGGTGACCATTAGCTTGAAAGCTTTGACTTTGCTGTCATTGCCTTACTTCCACGGTGTCCATGATGAGGTTACACTGGGTACCATCTTAAATTAGAGGCATTTTCATTCACTGGGGTTGTACAAATTCCAACTCTTGAGTTTTTTGTTTTTCATTTGACTGATTAACAGAGATAGGGTGTCTAAAAGTCTTATATTAGTTATAGGAAGGTGATTATAAAAATGGTAGCCTTAACCAGGCAGTGGTGGTGCACACCTTTAATCCCAGCACTTGGGAGGCAGAGGCAGGTGGATCTCTGTGATTTCGAGGCCAGCCTGGTCTACAGAGCTAGTTCCAGGATAGGCTCCAAAGCTACAGAGAAACCCTGTCTTGAACCCCCCCCCCCCCAAAAAAAAATGGCAGCCTTAGCCAGGGGATACCTGTTATCTCTGCACTTGGAAGGCTGAGGCAGGTGATTACAGCAGGTTGTAAGCCACTCTGGGTTTACAGGTTCTAGGCCACAGGAGTGGGGCCTTTGTGAGGCAGTATAGTATTCTTATGGTCCAGCCATTCCATTGTTGTGAAATAGTAAAGATGTGTTATTCACTTATGTTGTGGAATATTTGTTTCTTGATACAAAGATACGTCGCTTTCTTTGTAACTCTGAAACTGTGTTACTTTGTCTAAAACACTTGATTGGTCTATTAAAGAGCTGAATGGCCAATAACTAGGCAGGAGCTGGCAGGTGGAGAGAAAAAATGGGAGAAGGTGAGAGAACACCAGAGGCCAGCCACTCAGCTAGCTAAGGAGTAAGAAGAAAGGTATATAGACTGAGGAATGGTAAAAGCCCAGAGGCAAAAGATAGATGGGAAAATTTAAAAGAAAACTAGCTAGAAACAAGCCAAGCTAAGGCTGGGCATTCATAAGTAATAATAAGTGTCCGTGAATTTATTTAGGAGCTGAGTAGTGGGCACCCAAAGAGCAAAGATTAAAATAACCAACTACATTCCATTCTGAATTTTTATGCAGGGATGTGTCTTCAAGGATGTTTATTTGACCTCCCTTTTGGTAAATAGTTTAAGACACCTTTTTTTTTTTTTTAAAGGTGCTAATAGCTGTCTTGGGAAAGGAGTTAGCTGTGTAAAGAAACATAAAAAAATTAGCTACAAATACTGTAAGAGAAAACACGTATTTTATGGTTCTCCGAGGATGAAAGAATGGTTTTTTTTTTTTTTTTTGAGGTGAATGGGGGTCTGGAGAGGGTACAGTGGTTAAGAGCATTTGCTCTTGCAAAGGACCTAGGCTTGGTTCCCAGCATACACATGGTAGCTAGCTCTCTGGAGCCTGTAACTCCAATCCTACGGGATCTAGTAACTTCTGGCCTCTCGGGACACCAGGCGTGCACATGGCATACATGTGAATATGCAAGCAAACATTCACACACATGAGATGGATGTGGGAGGGTAACTCCAGAGTTAAGTGGGACATGACTTAGCCTAGTGTTTTCTGGACTTTCAAGAAACAGGCAAAGTCCTTTTGATTTTTGTGAATGTTACTCGAATTGTGTGTCACTGTGACCAAATAACCAAGAAAAGCATCTTAACTATTAGGAGAGAGAATTAAAATACCTGTATTGGTATATATTATTTATATGGGCTTCATTACGAAATTTTGTTCATAATATATGTTTTGATCATATCTGCTCTTCACCCGTTGTCCCACTCCATCTCCCCTTTCCCAGCGAGTCCCAATTCTATTTTTCTGTTTTATTTTTTATGTGTGCCCCAGTGACTTTAATTAAGGAGCGTGGGTGAGGGCTTATTTACAGGAGACTGGGCAGCTTCCCAGCCGCTGCACCACGGAAGAAAAGTGTCTTTTCCCCTGGAGCCAGTCCCACTACACTGCCTGGGAGTTCTCAGGGAGTCGCGGAGCCTATCAGCCTCTCCAGGACAGGTTCCCAAGGCCCAGTTTTAGGCAGGTCTTGTGTAAGTAATAACAACCGCCAAGAGTTCAAAGGTGCACAGGCCATGTTATGCCTAGAAGACAGCGCAATCCACATCCCTTTCTTCTCGCCCTTACACTTCTTACCCCGTTTTAATTAGTGTTTCTGTTGCTGTGGTTGAACACCATGATCAAAAGCAAATTTGCTTACACTTCCACATCCCAGTTCATCACAGAAGCAAGTCAGGGTAGGAACCTGGAGTCAGGAGCCGGTGCAGAGACCATGGATGGCACCGTGCCAATGGCCTGGGTGCCCTCGTGTCCGTCACTAAGAAAATGATCTACAGGCTTGCCTACAGCCTGTATGCATACGGTTTCTCGATTGAGGTTCCTGTCAGGCGGTTCTAGCTTGTGTCAAGTTGACATAAAAGCAGCCAGGACACACTGCAGTTCTGTGTTTTCTGAGCCTCTCTGGAAGGCAGCTATGCTCACCACTATACGCCCAAGGCCGCACCTCTGAGCCTCTCTGGATGTGGTTATTATGGGTGTGGGTAGGCTGGTAACATGGATGCCCTGTTTAGGGATGAATACTAAATAGTCACTTATTCTTAGCACTTTGAACAGTTCACAGCTTCTACTTTAGCTATCACCCATGGCAAACAGGAGCTTCTTTGACCAAACCTGATGGCAGCACTAAGCCTGTGGTCCTAAACATCAATATTTGAAAGTCAGTTTGACAGACGAAACACACCCTGCCCACTTAGCGAAACAGTAGTCACTGCCCCGCTAGGCTTTTGAAGTCAGTGGTGCGAGTTCCTTCCTGTAGATCGAACCAGAAAGCAGCTGGTTCTCATCCCCGTAACTGGGGTACCACTATCGCATCAGTTGGCGTCATTCACCTGGCAAGTCTCGTGGGGGTCACACCTGAGTGTTGCTTTACCCCCAGCAGTGGCACTTTAGGGTTCACCACTATACCCATTTTCCCAAACAGTTTTTGTGTATTTGGGATGAGCTCTAGGTTTGCTGGTACCCGTTGGTAATTCATTTCAATTAATTTAATCATAAGCCCTCATGTACTTTAAACTCCTCAGGAGGCAGCTAAAGGACATTGGGGCCAGACTGCTCTTGAATCTGAACTCTTCCCCTCCCTGGCAGTGTGTCACCTTGGGCGGGTCACTGTACTTTTCTGTGCATTTGATTTGTTGTGGAAGATGGATTAGGAAAGAGTTTGAGGATGAAATGAATGACTGGAAGCAAACTGCTTACGAGTGGCATTTAAGTAAATGCCATGAGGCTTTATTAGTAATTGTGGCTAGTTTACAGGGCCTGGGATTTTTTGTAGGTTACTGCATGAAGTATGAAGTTCAAGATCTCAGTACTGGGAGGCAGAGGCAGGTGGATCTCATGGAGGCCAGAAACCCTGTGAAAATTAAAAAAAAAAAAAAAAAAGCATTAAAAATTTTGCCTTGCAGTTGCAAAGTCAGGCAGGACTCTTCCTGCTTGCTTTTGTCTTAGCTGTTCTCTTGGAGAAGAGCTGGTCCCTTTACAGCGCTGGCCTGTTTTTAGTGAAGTGCGTCAGTCTCCCAGCTGACTTGGTTTTCATCTTTCTTTCTGAAAACCCATCTGGTCGTATTCAGTTTTGATTTTTCTTCAAAGCTCTGGAATCTGTCCATTTGGCACAGCGCGGGCGTAAGGGCTGCTGGTCCCCACATTCTACTTTAGACCCCTTATGTTGCAGGGAACATGGTCGTGCTTAGCCGAGATGTGCTGGCTGAGTGTGCAAAAGGTGATTGGATGTGTAGAGGCCTGTCTTAGAAGGAATTCTGGATGACAGATGACTCATCGTCTTGGTCCATATGGCTGCAGAGAGGCATCCTGCTAACTGTGGGTGGAAATCGGTGCGGTGGATGCAGGCCAAGGGAACACCAAGTCGGGTGGGGGATGGTGTGTGTTCTTCCTGGCCAACGCCACCCTTGTGCAAATGTTCAGCGCTCTACCTTCACTGTGCTTGGAAAAGAAACACCCATTTTGTCTTTCTCTTTGAAGCAGAGTCTCACTGTGTTGCTCAGATGACTTCAAACTCATGGTAATCCTCTCTGTAGCCTCCCAAATGCTGGGATTACAGATATGAGCTACCAGGGTTGGTCTTCAAAAGGCTTTTATTTGGTGCATTGGTCAACTTTCGTTAATAAAGCAACGATTCAGATGAGTAATGGGTAAACAAAAGGTTTTCTTTAGTTTGAAGTTGTGTGTGGGGGTATATTAGTTACGTTTCCGTTGCTGTGATAAGGTTCCACGGCCAAAAGCAGTTCATGGAAGAAAGAGTTAATTTCTGCTAGGGCTCCAGAGTCCTCAATGACAGGGAAGACATGGCGGTGGGCAACTGAGCAGTGAGACACAAAGCAAGGCAGCAAATTGGAAGTGTTAGTCTGTCTGTCTGTCTGTCTGTCTGTCTGTCTGTCTCTGTCTCTCTGCACATGTGTCATCTCCTCAAACAGCATCACTAGCTGGGGATGTCAGTGTCTGAGGTGTGGGGAGCAGCCTAGCAAGGGCCCCCCCCTCACCTGCATCATATCCTGATCGATATCATCTCAGTAACAGCACACACACAAGGCTCGAGGTTTCATGATGTAGTTCAGGAAGCCAGAGTTGGTAGGGTGCTACACTCCTTGATGCTGCACAAGTCTCATGGGAATTAACTGGAATCCTCAAGAACCATGGTAATCATTTCCATGATACACACACCCTGTGTCTTCCCATCAAGCTGTACCTCTAAAAACATATCATGATCATGTCCTGGTTACTAAGTCTCAGGACGCGGACCTTTGGGAACTGTGCTCGGCTCATCCAAATCATAGCATTAGTTTTCCAGGAAAACACTTGCAGTTTGGAAAATAATTTTTAAGTCTTTTAATTCAAGATAAAGATAACTGTAAGGTTTCTTAAATATCTTTCACT